ACCAGAACTCTGACAGCCAGCATAAAAGTCACCTTTAACACCGATTCTGACAGTTTTGAGAACTTATTCAACTACTCCAGGAAGTTTCTGCACTTATTTCTCCAAAATATTCCAAGTAAAATCGTTTTGCGTGTAGATTTATAGACTGCCAATGTTCTTGGTGGAACTTGACAATGATGATCGCCACCTATAAATATACTAATTCATTATTTTCAGTAGCTGCAAGTTGGAAAAGAGATCCAAGATGGTACAACTTAATTAAACCCCCACCCCTATTTTCCTTGCATTTTCCCAATTTCATTTTTTTTTTAATCTAATCTGTATGATTTTCACCAATATTTGAATAAACAAACAAAACTAGTAATGACAGCTCCGATATTTCTATCCTAAAAGGAACTCTCACAGATCACTAATCTTATTCATGAGTGTGAATGTAAAAGGGAAAAAAAAAAAAAAAAAACTTGTTTCTGTTAAAATGGTTCTAAAGGCTGAAGGTTTTTTTTTTTTTACCTTCAGTGTGCAGCTCCCTACTGCTGGTGTCAGTCACAGCCAGCGAGGAGGGAATGGGGGGCGGGGCTGAGCTGCAAAGTTTTATGGACGCAGAGTGCGGGGCTCGGGAGCGAATATGCACCAGAGACCCTATAGCAAATTACTTGCTATTGGGGCACTGCTTGGAGGGGGAGGCCAGAAGCTCTGGCAGGGGACCCAAGAAAAAGGATTAAGTGGAGCTCCAATCTCCCACCTAAAAAATTAAACACTGTAGCTGTTGACCTTTAATATAAGGACACTTACCTGTCCAGGGATCCAGCAAAGTCCTATCCTAGCCGATTCTTCAAATCGGCTTCAGGTGCAGGAGCTGGCATCTTGGGTAAGGGAATCCAGCAGTGAAACTGCGCTGTGTTATTGGTCCTGCAGTCTTCTGGGACCTGTGTACGTCCCAGAAGGCTGAGGGGTAAAAGGAGGGGCCGAAAGATCGCCATGGCGATCTTACCTGGGAGTGGGGGCAGGTACCTGGCAAAACCAAGTGCCCCCTTTTTGGTTAAGTCCCTCTTTAACTATTACAAAAACTCAATCTTTGTCTTGTTAGATGCTGGAAGTTTAAATAATTTAACATACCAGTCACACACAACACCAGCCACCACAGTTTTTTACTCTGCTTGCTATCTTTTTGTTTTTCGTAAAATGCAAAGAGAGAAATGAGAACACCCAATAGTGTCAGCTGACAGAAGGAGGATAAGGGAAATGACAGAACATCCTGCTTGAGTTATAGTAACCAGGGTATAATATTTTTTATTTTAATACATCTGCACAGGGAGGTAAATTGACCTGCTCACTGCACAATTCAAGGGATTCTAAACAAATCTGCTCAGACTAACACCCTGGTCATACCGGATGAAAATCGCACCAGATAGTGTGCAATTAAAGGGGTCATATCGGTGCAGTTCCGACTTTTTGGAGCCACACAGATTTCTAAAGTAGTGCATGCACTACTTTTGGTGCGATTTGCATAGACGTGCGTCTTGCATATCGCACCTGAAATCTGCATGTCATTCGACTTTGAAATCGTCGCAAGATTACAAAGTTTGGTTTGATGTGACCGGAGTGTTAAAGCATACCTAAACCACAGAACAAAAACTGATTGTATTGCAGCTTACTTGTCTTTAGTTGTGGTGTTTTTTCTTCACTTTTTCCCCCTTTATTTTAACTCGATAATCCTGCCATTACCATATATGCTGTCCTACGGTGACAACAATACTGAGCAGCATTGTCACCTTAGTAAAGACTATACAGTGCATCCAGAAAGTATTCACAGCGCTTAACTTTCGCCACATTTTGTTATATTACAGCATATTCCAAAATGGATGAAATTATTTTTTTCCCTCAACATTCTACAAACAATACCCCATAATGACAACGTGAAAGAAGTTAGCTATGAAATCTTTGCAATTAATTAAAAATAAAAAAAAACAAAAAAAAAAAAACCACATGTATATAAAGCAATTGTAAAGGTTCATTTTTTTTTTTTTTTTTTTTTTTTTAAAAACAACAAAACATGTCTATACTTACCTGCTGTGTGCAATGGTTTTGCACAGAGCAGCCTGGATCCTCCTCCTCTGGTCCCCCGCAGATGCTCCTGGCCCCTCCCTCCTGTCGGGTGCCCCACAGCAAGCAGCTTGCTATAGGGGCACCCGCTGCTCCATGTGTCCATTCACACATGGAGCTGTGGCTTGGCCCCCTCCCCCACTCTCTCCTCATTGGCTGACTGGCTGTGATTGATCAGCCAAAGAGGAGGCAGAGATTCAGGACTGCTGAGACTGTCATTCACATCGCTGGATCGCAATGAAGCTCAGGTATGTATTGGGGGGGCTGGGGGAGTTGTTGCACACAGGTTTTTTTTACCTTCATGCATAGAATGCATGAAGGTAAAAAACCTTCAGCCTTCACAACCACTTTAAAATGTTCTAGGTGGTTTATCCTGTTATTTCAGGAGTTTCTCAGTAAAGCTCTGACTAAATTAATTATACACAGTGAAGAGCTAGTGGTGGATAGCAAACGGAGGCACTGGCAGTACAATAAGCCAATAAAGCTCTATTGCTTTACATAGTGATTGTCAGTCTAACAATGAACATGCTTACAAGAGCAAAGGGATGCCCCTCAGCAGCATGCTGCTGCTCTTTTGTTGCCCAATCACAGGCTAATGTGAATCTAGACCAGGCTGTATTGCTCAAGTACAATGAAGGGAAGTCTCAAGTGTGCTGTCAGGTCATGAATACCTAAATTACAAGGCTGGTCAAAAATACTAAAAACTAAAGTATGGCCAAAAATGATTTATGACCATGTGACTGCAAAAATATGTCCTCCTACAACCAAGTGTTTTCCCTGTCTGTCTGTTGCAGTGTGTGTTAAACCTTTTACATGTGATCAGCCTGCACTCCCCTCTGCTTACTTGTAGTTCAGGTTGCTAATTAGAGGGAGATTGTGATGTTGAGCTGTACCTGCCTCCAATCACAGAGCACTTTGCATTCAGTAAAAGGTATGCAAAGCTTTTTATGAATGGAGAATGTTCCAGATGAGCAACCACCCGTGATATCTGTTCTGACACTTCTAACTGCATATGTGTGCATGTAATAGTTTTTCAATGGTGCCATTAACACTGAACTTTTACTTGCATTAAGGTGGAACTGGTTAAGCTGCATTAGAGAAAATAGAATTCTTTGCTTCCAGGATGGATAGTTTTAATGATGTGAAAAACTTTTACATTGATACCACAGGCCACTTTTGAAACAATTGCCACTTAAAATAAAAACAATGAATCTTTACTTTTATCAATGACCATGGCCAGCGAATGCAGGTACATAAATAAGCCTAGATTCAGGGCAAAGATCAGGTTCCCTCAGAACAGGAAAATTCCAGGTCTCAAAGGAACTAAGGGGTCAGCGCCACTGTGTGTGTGCGCTTCATTTTCATTCATATGCAAACTGTGCTTAAAATATTTTAGGTTTGAATTCACATATGAAAACAAATTCTAATGTAAGCAAAACAGCTGTTACAACAAACATGTAGTGGCGGAAAATCTTTATCCTGAAGCCTGATGACAAACAACCGAGTTATTAATAAATGCTAACAGCTGCGCCATACAGCATTTTGTCTGGTATCTTCCACGACACAGACAAGGCTACTGGCAGAGGATTTAAAAGCAGTTTCCCTTATTAGAGTCCAGACAGAAATAGAAAACAGACTCACCATTCACGTGGCTGGTGCTGCAATATTTTTATAAAAAAGTGAAAGCAAACAGTGCGACGAGAGACGTTCATTACTAATATCAATTACTAATGTCTATTACAGTAATCCGTGGCATTCTGCTGATACCTTATAAATGCAAGAAAGCATAATAATACATCAAAGAATCAAACTTCTTCCAGCCTAGAGAGGATCTGCAGAGTTGTCTGAAATAAGCAAAAGACCACTAGGTCAACCAGCTAAGCTGTAGGCTTTCCTCTCACTCTGCCTACCATTAGAACTTATTTAATATTCAATTCACATACATGAATATGCTGATCTTTAAATTCTTCCATCAGCTCATCGCACAGTTATTACCTTTTGTTCCACTGGCCCCTCTTGATTAGATTGTAGGCTCTCAGGAGCAGGGCCCTTCTAACCCTCTTGTATTATAACTGTATCATCTTCCTTTAAAATGCAAAGTGCTGCACAGGCTGTTGGCATGATATAAATACTGTACAACAGATTGGCAATTAATTCTTTGCATGGTTATTTAACCCTTGAAATCATTTACTTCTCATGAAGTGTCCTAAAACCTCATGGTTAAAGCGGCGCTCCATGCAAAAGGGAAACTCTGCTTCAAGGGCTCGTCCTTCGATCCTCATTGAGGATTAGCACCTTTGGGGAATGAGCACCTGATTTTGACAGGTTTCCACTCCGACCGCTTAGGTGATTGGAAGCAGAAGTTCTCCTCCCTCCGCAGTCTTCTGGGACACGTGACAGGTCCCAGAAGACTGTGGGATCATTCACAATGCGCAGCTCTGCTCGTGCATGCGCAGTGGGCACACAGCTATGAAGCCGAAAGCTGTCACAGATGGGTGCCCACACAAAATGATGGCACCAGGGACAGAAACCAGCTGCAGTAAGCACACTTCTGGATCAAGGGACAGGTGAGTGGCTATTTTTTTTTTTTTTTTTTTTTTTTTTTTTTTTTTAAGTCGGCAGCTACAGTTTTTGTAGCTGCCGACTTATTTTTTCACTGGAGACTGGAGCTTCGCTTTAATGACAGGGCAAAGCTAATGCTTTGTGAAAGGAGTGAAAATGTATGCAATAGTCTTGTAAACCAACTTTGACATAGCAAAAATAAGTGAGTGGAAATTCAGTTTGGGAGTACACCTTTAGTGAATTAGAACAAAAATCAAATAATCGCACATTGAAAAATACCTCATGCATTACATTTGAGTGAATTAACCTGCACTACTAAACTCAAAATATATTACCTTTAGGTGGAAAGTAAGATTTACTTTCTGCTTTATGTGGCCAATCCACAACCAAAGGTCCAAACCTTCTGAAGCTTGCTGTGATCTCGTCTGGAAATAACAAAATCAACTATAAAGAGAGGGCAAAAAAAATCCAAAAGAGCAACAGTCTTCAAGACAGAATATTATGACGAACTCCGGTCTAAACAAAAACTGTTCTGTATTTTCAAATTAATCATGAAGACACAGCACATTCCGTAAACTGGAGTGAAGGTCTGTCAAGATATTTAAAAGAATGATACAAGGAGTGCGGATGGGGTGGGGAGCTAGGTCTCATATGTATAATGAACAGTTCTCCCTTAAGGAAGTACAAAATGCAGTAACCTGTAGCAACTAATCAAAATTCAGTTTGGACTATATTGCCAACAGTACAGTAAAATCAGGGAAAACCGATTTCCTACACTAACAGGTGCTCCAACGCAACTAAATACAGTATACAGCACAGTGTTCTGGTAGTGGGGTGGGAACTTCACTTCACACTTGGAACAAAACAGAATAAAAGAAATTAAAGCATTTTTTACCCTAATGGAGAGAATGCATTAAAAAAAGGTAAAAAAAAAAACCCTTTAGCCTTTACAACCACTTTAAAATGCAAAGTTGCACAAAATCTGAGTCATATTTCATACAAACAAATACAAGGTTTTGCTACACCTGCTCTGGAATGAGGGTAAATGGTTACAGTTTATGACTTTTCTGAATCTTTTATATTCATTTCAATGGAAAAGCAGGATCCCAATTTCTTAAAGAGAAACTGAACACTGGAAGATGCACGCCTGATAAAGGCAAGCAGAGGCAAATGACAAGTCACCAGTACTGCCTGTGGACTTCCAGTAGCTGATCTCTTTCCTATTACTGACTTACCATGCTTTGTTTTGCACAATGAATCTTTGTAGAGTCAGCCATCTTGGTAGAGGCACTTTTGTATCCTTAAAGTCTCCAGCAAGGAGAACCATGCACAAAGTAGTATCACCAAATCTCATTCAATTTTATGAGACTAGCAGTAAAGGGGCAGCAGTGCCTGAGATCAGACACTAAAGATTTACACTGATTAGTTATATATTTTGACCACTGGCAGGGAAAGGGAACATTGATCATCTTGTTACAATGGCATTTGAAAGTGAGTGGGTAAGGATTTGAGCAGCTAACAAAGGGTCAAATTGTAATTACAAGACAACTGGTTGAAGCATCTCTAAAACTGCAGCTCTTGCGGGATGATCTAGATCTGCTGTGGTCAGGACCTAACAAAAGTGGTCCAAGGAAGGAAAACTGGTGAACCGGAAAAAAGGGCCATGGACAGCCAAGGCACTTTGATGCACGTGGGGAATGAAAGATGGTCTGTAAAGTCTGATATAACAGAAGAGGTATTGTAGCTCAAATTGCTGAAAAAAGGCTATACTGGTTCTGACAGAAAGGTGTCAGAACACAGTGTATCACAGTCTGTTGCACATGTGACTGTGCAGCCACCGTCCAGTTAGGGTGTCCATGCTGACCCATGTCCATAGCCAAAATAAAATGGGTACGTGAGCATCAGGACTGGACTACAGGAGCAATGGAAGAAGTTGGCTTGATCTGATGAATTTATAATGGTTTCAGGAACATGAGTTTGAGATGTTGAATTCTCCAGATTTCAAACCAAATCAAGCATTTGTGGGATGTGCTGAAAAAACCAGTCTGATCCATGTAGGCCCACCTAGAAATTATAGGACTTAAAAGGATTTGCTACTGGCAGCTTAGTGCCAGATACCTCAGCATACTGTGCCTTAACAGGTCTAGTTGAGTCCATGCTTCAAGAGGTTATAGTGGGTGGTCACAATGTATTGGCTGATCAGTGTAAATCTATGAGTTTCCCTTACATACTTTAAAGTACCCTGAAAATGTTATCTTTTGTGGACTTTTCTGAAAAATAGCATTGTACTTTAAAGTGGTATTAACCCCCAAACCAAAAATGTAATATATAGCAGCTCAACAACCATTAGACAGTTGCTGCATTAGTTTTCTTTACTCAGGCTTTTTTCCCCTTCTGTTTTCACCTGGTGGTCTAGCTAGTAATACACCTCATGTATTAGAGTGCCTACACTCTGGATGAAGGAGCACAGGGGGCAACTTTTAATAGCAACATTGTCAGTCTGGGGGGAGGGAAGTGTTAAATGTACTAGCAGATTTAAATACACTGTACAAATTGAAGCTGAACTCCAGATCATACTTTAAAAGCAGTTATAGCAAACTTTTTTACCCTATTGGGATAAAAAGTCTACATAAATAAAAGCTAATCATTTTAAGTCCCCTGCTTAATGTTAAATGGTTTGTATCATCTCTAATTGATACATTCTTCTGGAGAGCTTGTTCTTTTAAAAAAAATTACAGATTTACTGGCTGGATTACCAAGTGAAAATAGACGAAAGCAACCCTAAAAAAGAAAAATGAAAGTAGCCATCACATCTCAGAAATGGCAAGCTGCAATAATAAAATGCTTGCTTTTGGGTTTAATACCAATTCAAGGCACAACTAACAATTCTGCAACACAGCAAATCGGCACTTTTTGAGTTTAAGTCCACTTTAAAAAGTGCTTGATGGCTCCAGATTTCTAAAGCAACTCATTACTGTTTAAATAAGTACCTTCATCAATGTCAGGAGGCAGCCCTCCAACAAACACCTTCCGAGAGTAGCGTTCAACCCGTTCACCATTTTGACAGTGAGTTGGAGAACTCAGACCAGATGACAAGGATTGGTCTCCATGACTATCACTGAGGAAGCCATCTTCAAATGGGAAGAGTGAAGACCGACCTGGATGAAAGAGAAACTATGGTCAGTGCAAGAATAATCATAGAAGTACACATAATGAAAGCAGTCTGATTTTCTTCAGAAAAATGTTTAATTTATCATTTTGAGCTAAACTGAAGAACCATTTGTTATTCATTTTGGGGAAGGTCACCTTTTAGCTCTCCTTCCCATGGATATTACATGATCTAAATTAAACACTATGCCTATCTGTCCCTGGGAATTTGTACAACACTTGTATTTGGAAATGTTCACAATTAGTAGAGCAGTATAATCTCTTTATTTATAACTTTTCAACCAGTTGGGCTATAAATTTAGTGTGAAAGAGGAAAAATTGAAACTGGCAAATGTCAATGGATTTCATTCATAATTTCTCTAAAATACAGGAAATTATTCAGTGCATACCGAACATCCTAACACTAGTGGAACCACTGATAATGATGGTGCTTCCTCACTGGATCAACAAGGTAACAGTGCACAGCACATCTAGACAGGTACAATCAAGGGCTTTAAGCATACCAATTACACATGCTTTAAAGACGTCATAAATCAGCATTGCAAATTAGTACACTCAGGCTTACTGGACAAACTGACTCATGAAAAATCTATCAAGTTGGTACAAAGAAAAACACAGGGTGAATACAGAAACTGACACATTCAAGTGGAGCATGTTCACATAAAAAAAAACACTCTACTGCCACACTGTGAAAGACCTAAAATGCTGTATTTTTTTGATTAGCTGTCAAAAAAAGTGATCCTTTCAAAACCCAATGCAGAATGTTTGAATATGCCAGTCAACATGTACTAAAGCAATGCATACTGCTTCATAATCCCTTGAAATAGCACATTATAAAGCAGCCATATCTGTGTAGCTTTAGCATGAATTCAGAGCTTCCTACTCCCTGTTTGATTTTTAGAGTTGGTCAATCAGGCATTGCAATACACAACCAATTTGCCCTAAATAATGGCTCCTAGCCCCCACCTAAGGCATGCTGTGAGAACACAGAGTGGCATCACCCCCACCTAGGCAAACAGGCTAATATTCTCCTTAGGCCTTGGGATATAGGGCTGGAAAGCTACTATACAGAGCTTAGCTGTTGTGGACCACTGTCAGAAAAACAGTGCGGCGCTGCTCACAGCTAGGATGAAGTTGGTCTGCTTACTTGATATATCACATGACCAGCACACCTAACCGTGTGTTGTGATGCGGTTATTTCACATAGCAACATGTCATGCGTATGTTCTGGAACAAAGTTCTTTCCATGGTTTGGTGGTTCAGCATCGTTCAAATGTCTGTTTGCCACACTGAGCACCAGCCCAATGCAATTTTAGCTAATGTTACAGCAAATGTATTCATATACAAATTAGCAAGTTTCTGCACAATATGAATGATTGATACAAGTGTCATCTGATCACAGAAATTACTGTAGCAAACATCCCTCAGTATTAATAGCTTTGGTAGGAAAAGATCTGTGTTCTGTACTTACTGCACACAGGAAATGAGGGACATCCGGCTTGTCATGGATTAAGCAGTTAATATATGGCGGGGGTAAACAAAAAAAAAAAAACAAACCCAAGTATTCATTTGGGCTTAGAAATGGGCTTTGTGGTTCTTTCCGATCATTAAAGCACATATTCTATGTTCTTTAACACAACTATAGATACTGACCATCTTGTCCAATGCCACTGTTAGCTTAAGATGGTGACACCAATTATATTATCAATATTGAAGACTTCTCTTTGGGGTACCAGTTTTTCATCTGGGTGCTGCCATCGATAACTGAAGGGGCAAGTAATTTTTCCTTCACTTCTCGGTAAGTCAGTGACCAAGAACATGCACATATATTTATTTATTCAGGAACATGTACCTGCTGGTTTGTGTGAATTAATCAGTAGAGAAGGCTAAAAGGATGACAGCCCTGGAGTACCTGCTGCTGTATTCAAATATCCCAGAAAATGCATACCCTACCTCAAATGATATGAATACTTTTTTTCTGCCATCTGCGCTGCAGAACATTACTCCGATTCTGAGAAAACAGTCTCCGAAGTCTACTGGGAACCTGACATTTCCAGAGTGTCATCTGCATGGTCTCCCACAGCTCTCACTGGTTCCTCCCTGGGACCTTCACCCACAACAGAATGACAGGAAGGTCAGAGAGAGGAACCAGTGAGAGCTGCAGGAGACCACAATGAAGAAAGCTGGTTGGTTGTATAAAAATGTTACCTTTAGCATATTTTATCAGGCCCTAAAATCCATAGTAAAATCCATTACACCCTTTTCTTGTTAAGGATTTGTTCACACCAGGTGTGGTGCAGAACGTGTGCAAAATTGTGCATTTTCCTGCACAGACACACACTGACTTTTGCAGAAATGTTCACACCCCAACATAGAACAAATAAGCAGAAGGCTCTTCACTGCAAGGAAATTCTGCTGCTTTAAGAAGACGACGACTATTTTCCTTAATTCAGACCTAACCAACAAGTTGTTTTTTTTCTGGAGTTTTTGCTCTCCAAAGAAAGTGGTTTCTAAGGGATGATTTATTAAAGGCAAATAGACTAGGCACTTTGCAAGTGCAATTGCACTCATTTTCTCAGAGCTTAGTAAATGCGGTGAAGCTCTGCTGATTTCCATTATCCAATAAACAACCAGCAATTACCTTTGTTAATTCAAGGATGCATTCTCATGGCCCTGCTGCTTTATGCATTATCCTGTTAGCAAGTTCCTGAGTAAAATGTTGACCAAATGCTGTATGCATGTGAGGCTTGCACCAAAATTGCGTGTGCATAGTCTAGAATTGTATGTGTACACAGAGCATCAACATTTACTTATTATTCAGCCTCTTCTCTGCAGTTCTGTATCACTCAAAAAATTATCATTCATGAATGATTAAAATAACATATTTCCTATGTTCATTTCAGCAGTGGAAGGGATGCCAAATACTCTGCTGGATATAGAGATATCCACTAGAGGGAGCCTAAAGAAAACAATATACAAAACCACTCATAAAAGTAAGGAAGAGCAAGAGCTTTAATATGTTAGACACATGCATTAATAAAACATTATTTGTTGGTAAACATTATATAAAAAGGGTCACATTTTAGTGAGCGCTAGCAACAAATCAGAGCAGCTAGCACAAATAGGTGAACCCACTTCATCCACAAAAATATAAATATGTATAAAAGGTGCAGTGCTTGTATATTATACAATCAAATATGTGAAAAACAAAATCTCTATATGGACTTGTTACATAATCAAACATAAGTGGAAATAACCGAAAAGTCCAAAGAGTGAAGTGTCCTTCAGTGTTAATAAAAATCAAGAATGACCAAAAAATTGAAGTGACATCCGTGCAGAGTACATCCATAACAAGCCTCCACCACTATGCACTCACCAGAAATATAAATCAACCGGGCTTTATACAGAAATCCCTCTGAACAGCATATTACTTCTCCATTGCAGGAATAGACATGCAGCCTTGCAAAGGCAAATTCAAAAATGCAAAACAGCTGGGCTTTATACAGAAATCCCTCTGAAGAGCATATTAGTTCTCCATTACAAGAATAGACATGCAGTGGCAAATCCTAGAAAAGAGCTCACAAAGCAGAGGCCAGGAGAAGGTAGTATTTATTGTATAAAACTATAACATCCACGTGGAGCAAAGCATAAAAACAAAAAAAAACAAAAAACAAACAATCAGCCACACTTACAAGTATGGCCGCCGGACCATCGCATGCACTCAGCAGCGTGACATCAGCATATAGGCTCTCCCTGGCGCGTTTCGTGTGCACGTACATTCTCAATGGGACCCATGCGCACAAAACGTGTCAGTATAGCCCGGTTGATTTATATTTCTGGTGAGTGCATAGTGGTGGAGGATTGTCACGGATGCACTCTGCATGGATGTCACTTGAATTTTTTGGTCATTATTGATTTTTATTAACACTGAAGGACACTTCACTCTTTGGACTTTATGTATGGTTATTTCCACTTATATATTTGATTTTATAATAAGTCCACATAGAGATTTTGTTTTTTACATATTTGATTGTATAATATACAAGTGCTGCACCTTTATACATATTGGTAAAAATTATATGCGCAATTAAAACTACACTACTAGCTTTAACAGCACTTGCTCATGTAACTCTATATGAGGATTATATGGGTTTTGCAAACAACTGATCCACTTTTTTTCCAGCTTCCCTTCAAGCAGTTTGTAGACATGTCTTAAAGGATAAGTTCACCTTTGGGAACATGTTACATGTTCCATCCGTTTTTAGGGTGTAATATGCTCCCATAGCAGCAGCCCCCCCCCCACCCTTTGACGGACTTCCTTGAACGAATTAACTGCAAGTCCCAACAGCCTTACCAGCTGTCAGTTTGCAGTTTTCAATAAACTACCACAGAGAAGGCTGATAGAGAGAGCTAGTCTCAGAGTTCCCCATCAGGTCTGCCTTGACTGTGATTCGGCAGCGCACAGGATTGGAAAGCCTAATGGACTAAATAGTGGCTCACTGCCATGTAATGAAAATCAAAAGTAAGGCAGACCCGATGGGGAACTAGTTCTTCAGTTCCCCAATAGGATCTGCCCACCTCAGTACAAAAATCTTTGGTCATGCACATGTCAGTGTGACAGATGCCGAGGCAGGAAAGGGAGGGCACTGAGGAATGAGTGTGCAATATGAAAACTCTGATCTCAGCACAGACATCAACAGATTCATGTATCTGTACCCAAGACACTATGAAACAAGCTCCAGGTCCCAGTCTGGGAACACAAAACCCGAAGAATACCGACATGCCAGCCTTCTCCATTCAAAATCAATGCTCTGGAGCTTCACACTGACTAAAAGAATGAGTCCACCTTTTATAAAAAATAATAAATGCATTTTTCTGCAGGTTAAAAAAAAATTTGCATTTATTTTTCTTTATCAGGAGCCTGCAAAATATTGTATACACACAGTATATTCATACACAACAGACAGCATATCCAAGATTACAATTTT